AGATTAAATTCCCTTGAGGCATATGCTGGATTTCCCCATCCTCCCATATTATCCACCCAGTATATCCAGGTCCCTGAGCAAAAGCAATCCCACAAGTGGGTTTGCCTTGACCTGAAGCAGGAATAACTCTGACTGTCTTCCCGAGCAAGTTCCTTATGTGCACCGCAGGAACTTTATCCCTCTCTACAGTATGTAAAAGTTCTGATTGAACTGGGCCAGCCCTGTTGGCAGATCCCCTAGTGTTGACCAACCAGGTGGCCTTTGGTAAATGTGTATCCCAATGTTAGCAAGTCCCACCACCCATTGCTCTCAGTGTAGGTTTTAACAGCCTGTTGTACTGTCTGGGGTTCCTTGTCACTAAAAGACTTCTTTCTCAAGGCCCAGGATAGTGTTCTGTGCAGTGGCGTGGGGCGCAGCGTACGTTTCTAGCCATCCGGTGGTTACTTCCACCATGGTAAGCACATGGCGCTTGCCTTGGCGGGTTGGTGGGAGTGTGATATAGTCTGTCTGCCGGGCCTCCCCATATTTGTGCTTCAGCTATCGTCCTCCGTACCAGAGAGGGTTTAACTGCTTGGCTTGCTTAAACTGTAGCACATATTTCACATTGATGAATAACCTGGGCAGTGGTGTCCATTGTTAAGTCTACCCTTCGATCATGATCCCATCTGTATGTTGCATTTCTGCCTTGATGGCCTGAGGTGTCGTGGGCCCATCAGGCTAAGAATATTTCACCTTTATATTGCCCATCTAAATCCACTTGAGCTACTTCAACCCTAGCAGCTCTGTCCACCTATTGGTTGTTCTGATGTTCCTCAGTGGCCCAACTTCTGGGTGCATGAACATCTACATGGTATACTTTCACCACCTGGTTCTGCACCCGGGCAGCGATATCTTGACACAGTGCAGCAACCCACATGAGTTTACCTCTGCATTGCCAGTTGCTCTGCTTCCATTGTTGCAACCTCCTCCACAGGGCATACACCACCATCCACGAGTCAGCATAAACTGCTGGCCACTTTTCTCGTTCAGCAATGTCCAAGACCACCTGGATGGCTTTCCCCTCGGAAAACTGACTCGATTTACTCTCTCCTTCAGCAGTTTCTGCAACTTGTTGTTGGGGACTCCTTACAGCTGCCTTCCATCTCTGATGCTTTCCCACAATACAGCAGGACCCATCAGTAAACAAGGCATATTGCTTTTCACTTTCTGTCAGTTCATTATAGGGTAGGGTCTCTTCAGCATGCATCACCTCCTGCTCTGGTGATGTTCCAACGTCTTTGCCCTTTGGCCAGTCCATGATGACTTTTGGAATTCTTGGATAATTGGGATTTCCTGTTTGTGCTTGTTGTGTATTTAGTGCAGCCCACTTACTCTTTGTGGCATTGGTTGCATTATGTGTAGATGGGACCCTGCCTTTGAACATCCAGGACATCACGGGCAACAGGGGTGCCAGGAGGAGCTGTGCTTCAGTGCCAATCACTTCTGAAGCAGCTTGAATCCGTTCATAGGCTGCCAGTATCTCCTTTTAAGTGGGAGTGTAGCTGTCCTCTGTATCCCTGACTTCAAAAGCAGAGGGGTTGACCTCGCTTCTCCCCTGAAGCTTTGTGCCAGAGGCTCCAGGCAGGACCATTCTTCCTGGCTGCAGCGTAGAGCACGTGTTTTGCATCTGTCCTAGTCTGGACTGGTCCAGGCGCTATTGCATGAACTATCTCTTGTTTTATTTGCTCAAAGGCTTGTTGTTGCTCAGGGCCTCATTTGAAATCATTCTTCTGGGTCACATGATAGAGAGGGCTTACAATTAGACTAATTTGGGATGTGCATTCTCCAGACCTCCACAACACATAATACGGAAGAAGCACAAACTTTTTTAGCTGGTGGAGACACTGCTGTCATCTTGTTGGTCACATCTGTGGGTATCTAGTGATGTCTGTCTTGCTGTTTTTTTCCCCAATAATTGTATCTCCTGTGCAGGTCCCTTGACCTTACTCTGGTTGATGGCTGTCCTGGGTGCAGCAGTAGCAGCCATTTTTCTCCTTCTTAGTAGCTGGTGCAGTGCTGTGATTTTGACTTTTGGACTGGGAACAGCACTGATAACACTGATGTTTTTAGTTGTTGCTCAGTAATGTTTATTCTGACCAAGGACTTTCTGAGTCTTATGCTCTGTCAGGGAGGAGGGGAAGCCGGGAGGAAGCAGAGACAGGACACCTGACCCTAACTAGCCAAAGAGGTATTCCATATCACAGCACATCATGCCTAGTATATAAACTGGGGGCAGTTACCCGGAAGGGCTAGATCACTGCTCAGGTTGGGCTTTGTATCGGTTGGCAGGTGGTGAGCAGTGAGAATAACTCTTCCCGTGTTATTTCCGTTGTCATTATTATTTATGGTGGTAGAAGTAGTGGTTTTGTGTTATACCTTAGTTACTGGACTGTTCTTATCTCAACCTGTGGGAGTTACGTTCTTTTTTTTCTGCTCCCCATCCCTCTGGGAGTGGGGGTAGAAGGGGGAGAGTGAGCGAGCGGCTGAATGGTTCTGGATTGCCGTCTGTGCTTAAACCATGACAATGGCAAAACCTGCCTTCAGAAGGATTTGGCTTATTTTCTTTCCTTTCTCAAAAATGCTTTCCACTGTATCGCCTGACATGATAATGTCATCAATGTATTTTAGGTGTTCTGGAACTTGCCTCTCTTCCGGTGCAGTCTGGATCAGTCCATGGCAGATCGTGTTTCTGCCCCTTGGGGCACTTGGTTCCAAGTACTGGATGCCCCTCCAAGTAAAAGCGAACTGTTGCCTGCGCTCTGCTGCCAAAGGAATTGAGAGAAATGCATTGGTAGTATCAGTTGGGAGTTCCCACTTGGCTGCCTTTGACTCCAGTTCACACTGAAGTTCTAGCATGTCTGGTACTGTAGTACTCAATGGTGGTGTGACTTCATTCAGGCCATGATAGTTACTGTTAGTCTTCACTCTCTGTTAGACTTTGCACTGGCTATATAGGGATATTGAAGAGTGAGCCTGTCCTGCTGTTTAGTCTTTGGCTTTCCAGTCTACGGATTAGCCTGTGAATGTGAATCTGGGAGTTTCGGTTGGTGTGATATTGCCACTGGTGCACTGTTGTGGTTGGGATTAGCACTTGTTCATTGACCTTCAGCAACCCCACAACAGAAGGATCCTCTGAGAGACCAGGCAAGGTGGACAGTTGCTCAATTTCCTATATCTCCAAGGCAGCTGTACTGAAAGCCCATTGGTACCCTTTTTGGTACATGGTGCAGCATGTATATATAATGCTGAGCAAAGATTTTTTCAGTGTAGGAACATTGCACACTGCATGGAAAGAACATGACTGCCATGTTCAAAGACTTTATTGCATGTTCAGGTGTTTTTCTGGAGATGGTTTTCTTACTTCTCCTTGGCTGTTTCTGTGATGCTTATTAGTGCAACATCTGAATGCATAGTAGGCATTAATTTATTCATATCGCAGTATATTGTAACTTCACATGGGGATTGAGCCACGTCTAAGGATTCATGTGTCCAGTAATGCTTATCCTACATATGTCAGCATTTTGGGGCACAATTTCCTTATGCAGGAAGAACATCTCTTCCATTTTCAAAATTGAATGATTTGTGTCTCTGTAAATTTAGACTTTCTAGGTATGAAGATGGGTAACTAGAATGTGAGGGGTCTACATGGTTTGACTGAAGAGACTTAATGTTATGTATGGATTCTGTAGGAGGCTAGATTTATAATCCAGACCTACAAAGCTGTATTCATCTGTTTTACAGTGAGTCCACTGTTACTGGATGTGCATCTCTGCTTTTCTGCAGCAAACAAGTCCCTTGCTACCTCTGTATGCTTCCCAGTCTGTCCTGTGGTGTCATGCAAGCCAGTTACTACAGCATCTGAATGCTCAACTTTCTCTGATATGGCAGTGCTTAAAATACATGAGACACTGTCACTGGGAAGACAGCAACCCCGACAAAACCTGTAGCAGACTGCCATGGCAACTTACAAATTGGTGTGACATTACCTGTTATCAGAATGGCTTAATTATATTTGCAGTCTAGTGTGGGTAGAAGGAGACTGTGGAGATGCTTGTATAGCCTGATCTCCCAGAAAGTAAAATGTCAGCTTTGGCAACCATGAACTTAAGGTTCAACTGTTGAACATGATTCTGAAGTTTGGCTTTTGAGAGCCATTCTCCCCTTGAAGGATACTTGGAAGGATAAATTGCTTTCTAGGTCAGATGGCTTCATCAGTATTCCATCTGGCAAAGTGAAAATACTTGGAGTTCATTTAGAAGACACTTTTCTTGCACACTTTTTCATGCCAATGCCACCAGATGGTAATGCAGCAGGCTTGTTTTATTCAGAAAGGATTGTGCTGTTAGGGGTGTAATAAGAATGGTGTCAACTTGATTGATCTTCAAAAGAAGATTCTCTGAAATACCCATGCATCTAGGGCTGTTCTTCCATCTGCTTTTTCTGATGACTTCCATGCCTTTAAGAAGGAAGTATGTATGGCATAAGTTTGCAGGATTTTTGAATCATGGTTATTTGAAGCACTTGTATGAAATCTTGTGCAAATTCTTAAACACATTGCTTTTTGTGAAGGATTTCTGTCCCAAGTTGTCATGACTTTGGGATCAACTCTCTTTGGAGACTGACTTTTCTGGAAAGAGGCAGATGATATGAATATGAGAAGCATACCTTGCAGGATGTCATTTCTGCTTGTTTCAGGTGGGGAGTCATGTTACATTCACCTGACAGCTCAAAGCATAGTAATTCCTGTTTCTTATATTCTGGAAATGCAACTGTGGGGTACAGTGAATTCCTCTGGGTTTCAAGTTTACTTTTAGCCATGCTACTGAAGCAATCTGTGTTTTCTTAATTCTTCTACTTATCTAATTGTAGGGTAAGAAAGAAGAAAAAATATGCCAAAGTATGAGACCATTACAAAGCCTTTAGGTGCAATACAAAGGTTACAGGTCTCTTTCTTCTCCCAGAGGATGCCAGCCCCTATCAGACTGCGAGAGTTGATCCGGACCATCCGGACAGCAAGAACCCAGGCAGAAGAGCGTGAGATGATCCAAAAGGAGTGTGCTGCTATCCGGTCATCCTTCCGAGAGGAAGATAACACATACCGGTGCAGAAATGTGGCAAAGCTGCTGTATATGCACATGCTGGGATACCCTGCACATTTTGGACAGGTAGGTCAGAGTTCCGTGCTTGCTGTGCTATGTGCATATGTCAGTCTGCTTTGTGTGTTTTGGGCACATTGACTTGTTTGGAGCATTTCTAGCTGCAGTTTTACTGTCTGCTCTTTGAGATGTTTTGAGATCTGTCTTCATATATATTCTGAACCTACATTGGTTAGTTTTGACTTTTAGTGAGATCTGCTGTTTGGAGACTTACATATTTTGTTATGAAACTTGGGGTTTGTCAGCTTTTGCCAGACTGACTGCTGCTCACCAGCCATGTTTCTGCGGAGCAGTAGTTCCTGAACCACAGTCCAGTACATATGGATATTTTTTAGATGGGTTCAAATCCCATGTGGGAACATCTTTCTCTGATGGAAAATGCCAGATGCTTCAAAGGAGGTTCTATACCCTTTTCTTTCTATAGCAATCTGTTTTAGGCAGATAAGAGCTGGTCTGTTCCCAGCAATAAGGAATTGGTGTTCCTTATCCCCATCTGTTGTGGTTTAAACCCAGCCATGCAGCTCGTTCACTCACTCCCCCCCTTCTTGCCCTCCCCCTGCTCCTGGAGGGATAGGAAGGAGAATCGAAAGAATACAACTCCCATGGGTTGAGATAAGAACAGTTTAGTAACTAAGGTATAACACAAATCAGTACTGCTACCACCAATAATAATAATAATGAAGGAAATAACAAGGGAAGAGAATACAACACCTCAGCACCAGACGACCAATAACTCGTCCCACCCCACCTGACCAAGCACCAACCGATACCCCGTCCAACCCAGCAGTGCCCTAGTCCTTCCGGGTAACTCTCAGTTACATCCTGGGCATGACGTGCTGTGGTATGGAATACCTCTTTGGTCAGTTTGGGTCAGGTGTCCTGTCTCTGCTTCCTCCTGGCTTCCCCTCCTCCCTGGAAGAGCATGAGGCTCAGAAAGTCCTTGGCAAGACCAAACATTTGAGCAGTAACTGAGAATATCGGTGCTATCAGCACCGTTCCCAGGCCGAAAGTCAAAAACACAGCGCTGCCCCAGCTACCAAGAAGGAGGAAAAATGACTGCTACTGCTGAACCCAGGACACCATCTCAGTGAGGTAACTTGGAGAATGCTGGTATGGGTTTTCTATCTCTCTGCTTATTTTTGACATGCTGTTTTTGACACAGGTAGATTGTGGAAAAGAGAGACAGAAAGATGAGAGTTCTTGATCTACAAGATGTTCTTCAGGTCGAGCTTTGCTTAGTCTTTGGGGTACAGTCTGTTTTGCTCAGTTAAAGTATCCTGTTAGTAGTAATCTAATCTAGGCCTTCCATAAAGTCAAAGAAAAAAAAGTCAGTTAGATTGTTGTATTCCTTAAAGTAGTTTCCTGTCTTGGGAGTCTCTCCATTCAGGATTGGATTTATCAATCCTGGTGTTTTACTGAAACAGTAAACTCAAGCCACTGATATCAAATTCCAAATAGTCTTAGTTTTAGGGAGTGAGTCTGGGCTGTGCTGTTGCATATGAAGTGCATCATCTTCTACATCATTGGATTGTTCTCTCAGGATAACAACTTACTGAGTAAGAGCAAGTGAATTTGTTTTTTATCCTGTTCTTAACACCTCACGTAGCCAGGCTCCCTGGTCCAAGAGAGAAACTTCCTGTCACAAGAATTAAGACTAAGTATGTTAAGAGCTTCAAGAAGAATGAACAACGTTAAATAAGTGTCATCTAGAATATCTACATTTGACTTATGCTAGGAGCATGTTTAAATTTTATTGGGATTATTTTATCTTGTTACTTGAGTATTTAATCCCATATATGAAAGGTTAGACCACATATCTAATAATTTTTCAGTTTCCGCTTTGGTCAGTAATGGTAAATTACCTCTTTACTCTCAGTGGATGAAGTATAAATCAGGTTATTTAATACTTGTTGCCAGGGTTGCTACATCTCAGAATCATCAATGCTGACTATTTTGGGAATGGGCTACTTCGTTTGATGGCCTTGTTCTCATGTAGTTTATCAGCTATGCTTTCAGGAAGGTGTAGGGCCCAAGGCTGAAAAGAGATTTTAAGAAGTATTCTCAAAGTAAGTTGTACACCTTTGTATGTCCTCAATGCTTATAACTGGAAGAAATCTTTCAAAGTGCTAATTTGTGTAGATGGACTATAATTCACATGAGTTGAGGACCTGTTGAAGACGCTTGTGGTTCCAGCAGTGAAGTCTTGTAGGTAAGTCAACATTGTAGACAGGAGGTTTCTGAGAGGGACAGGATAAATATGCAGGAAATATGTTTTAGTGAAAAAAACAGAAGAGTGCCATAGGCTGTGCTAGACAGCCTCTCTTAAAGATGTAAGCAGAGCTGACTTCAGCTAAGAGTGTGGATGGTGTAGCCAGTAATAAAAGAGAATTTAGAGAAGGTGTCAGAAGTAGTGAATGGTTAATCTACTTCTTTCCATGCCAGGGATCCTCAACTTTGACCCATGATGTGTTGTACAGAAATCTGAGCATGAGCACCATGTTTAGTCAGTGCATGCTGAGGTGCACCGGATGGCAGACTGTCTGGATCATGTGCAAAGGCCATTTGTACAAGCTTAAAAGTTGTCAGGCTGTCTGGGCAAATGGTGAAATAACTTTATTAGTATTGTCATTATTTCTACTTGCAAAAAGGATCCATTTGGAAGAGAACTCACCAGCCTTTCATTGAGTAAATTTCAGTAATATCTTTCAAATTCAAAAGTACTAGAAATATATCTTGCATTATCTGTTGCAGTCATTAATTTCCTTCTGCTTTTTCTTAGTCATTTGTCTTCTGCCTTTGGCTCTTGCACTGTAGCTTAGATGTCATCAGTTCTACACTGGTTTTGCAGGGGCTTGTATAAGAAAGTGTCTTGTAAATGTGGGGCAGAAAATTGGTTCAGAGGTGCGTTATTCTCTTACAGACAGCTAACTTTAAGATAATTTTCCAGATACACTAGAAAGAGAAGTCTAGTGTTCTGTACCTTATTCCTGGTTGATCTTGCCCATTGTGCAAACTCAGTTATCCTTGTGATCTTACTGTTCAGAGGTGTTTCTTTATTCTATATTTTCAGCTCCTTTAAACCTAGCAAACTAAACTTTTTTTTTTCAAGCTTTTTTTTTTTTTTTACCATTTTGCCACCTTGCACTAGCTGAGTGTTCTCATATGTGAAAACTTCTTGCATAGTTGAGTTGTATGTTCTGATGCCATGTAGGTGTGTTGTCAGTGGCATTACTTTCTCTGGCACTTCAGTTTCTTTACCAGTATCCTGTACAACTTTACCCTCCTGATTTGTGTGTGCTTCTTGTATCTCACCTGTCTGTTACCCTGTTCAAGCTTCCCTATAGCTAGGGACCATGAAAAGCTTTTCATGACACCCTGTATTTTTGCCTGTGTATGACCCCTGTACTTCCTTAAAAATGATCAGTTGCGAGCTTTGTCTGACCCCTCCTTCAGCCCGCTACGTACACTGCCTTGCAGCCCCAGATAATTTGTAAAACAAGCTTGCAAGATGTGTTTGCGAGGGATAGAGCTCTTACCTGCTTTGAGAAGTCATTTCTGCTACTTCCTGGCTGGAAAGTAGATATTGATTATACTCTGTTATCTGTCAGAGAAAAATATTTGAGTGTATAGTACTGTGGTTGATGTCTTTTTGCAGTAAGAAAGTGTTAAGTTTAAAAATGGGTTACCAATTAAGACACATAGTTACCACTTGTAGTCAGCTGATTAATTTATCTTGGGGATCTCCTTCATGCTATTAAACACAGTTGATGTTTCTACATTGTTAAAGGGAAGCTTGTAGTGGCTACAGTGCATATGGTTTTAGTCAGACTTTAGGGGTTCAGCTAGATGTTACAGAGCAACACAAAAACTTAGCTATCTCTGTATCCTGGTTTGCTTAGCTAGCAAGTTAGTTACAGATACTAATAAACAAAAACTAGTTTTAGAATCATAGAATCACAGAATGGTTTGGGTTGGAAGGGACCATAAAGTACATCCAGTTCCAACCTTCTGCTATGGGCAAGGACACCTTCCACTAGACCAGGTTGCTCCAAGTTCCATCTAGCCTGGCCTTGAACACTGCCAGGGATGGGGCAGCCACAGCTGCTCTGGGCAGCCCATGCTAGGGCCTCACCACCCTCACAGGGAAAAACTTCCTAAGATCTCATCTAAACCGACCCTCTTTCTACCCCTTAAAGCTATTACCCCTTGTTCTATCACTACATGCCCTTGTTAGGACAACTTAGAGAGCATGATCCTCTCTCTGGTAGGTAGATACCATTTAAGCCTGGTTCAGAAGTTTCCAGTGCATATCAAATATGACGTATAATCTAGATTTTCAGATCTTTACTATTTTGTTTTTAATGATGGAGCTCTTGTTCTATATAAATGTTATGTTTTCCTTTTCTGATTTGTTGTGGTTTAAGCTCAGTTGTAAATCAGCCACACAGTCCTTGCTCACTCCCCCCCCTTTCCTCCCTCTGCTCCTAGAGGGATGGGGAGGAGAATCGAAAGAATGTAACTCCCACGGGTTGAGATAAGAGCAGTCCAGTAACTAAGGTATAACACAAACCACTACTGCTACCACCAATAATAATAATAAGGGAAATAACAAGGGAAGAGATACAATACCACCCGCCGACTGATACCCAGCCTAATTGAGCAGTGATCTATCCCTTCTGGGTAAGGCTCAGTTTACATCCTGGGCATGATGTGCTGTGGTATGGAATACCTCTTTGGCTAGTTTGGGTCAGGTGTCCTGTCTCGGCTTCCTTCCGGCTTCCTCTCCTCCCTGGCAAATCATGAGGCTCAGAAAGTACTTGGTCAGACTAAACATTTGAGCAGTAACTAAAAACATTGGTGTTATCAGTGCTATTCCAAGGCCGAAAGTAAAAAACACAGTGCTGCACCAGCTACTAAGAAGGAGAAAATTTGACGGCTACTGCTGAGCCCAGGACATGATTGGATATAAATGATGCACATTTATGATGGGGCTACAGAACTGATGGACACTGGTAAAGCAGTTGATGTCATCTACCTGTATTTGTGTAAAGCGTTCCCACACAACATTCTTGTCTCTAAATTGGAGAGACATCAATTTGATGAATGGACCACTCAGTGGATAAAGAACTGGCTGGAGGGCCGCACACAAAGAGTTGTGGTCAATGGCTCAATGTCCGGCTGGAGACCAGTAACGAGTGGTGTCCCTCAGGGATCGGTGTTGGGACCGGTCTTGTTTAACATCTTCGTCGCTGACATGGACAGTGGGATTGAGTGCGCCCTGAGCAAGTTTGCTGATGACACCAAGCTGTGTGGTTCGGTTGATACGCTGGAGGGAAGGAATGCCATCCAGAGGGACCTTGACACGCTTGTGAGCTGGGCTGATGCCAACCTCATGAAGTTTAACCATGACAAGTGCAAGGTCCTCCACCTGGGTCGGAGCAATCCCAGACACAGCTACAGGCTGGGCAGAGAAGAGATTCAGAGCAGGCCTGTGGAGAAGGACTTGGGGGTGCTGGTCAATGAGAAAATGAGCATGAGCCAGCAGTGTGTGCTCACAGCCCAGAAAGCCAACCGTATCCTGGGCTGCATCAAAAGGAGTGTGACCAGCAGGTCGAAGGAGGTGATCCTGCCCCTTTATTCTGCTCTCGTGAGACCTCACTTGGAGTATTGTGTACAGTTCTGGGGTCCTCAACATAAAAAGGACATGGATCTGTTGGAACAAGTCCAGAGGAGGGCCACGAGAATGATCAGGGGACTGGAGCACCTCCCATATGAAGACAGGCTGAGAAAGTTGGGACTGTTCAGCCTGGAGAAGAGAAGGCTGCTTGGAGACCTCATAGCAGCCTTCCAGTATCTGAAGGGGGCATATAGAGATGCTAGGGATGGACTCTTCATTAGGGACTGTAGTGATAGGACAATGGGCAATGGGTTAAAACTTAAACAGGGGAAGTTTAGATTGGATATAAGGAGGAAATTCTTTCCTGTTTGGGTGGTGAGGCCCTGGAATAGGTTGCCCAAGGAGGTTGTGAATGCTCCATCCCCTGGCAGTGTTCAAGGCCAGGTTGGACGAGGCCTTGGGTGATATGGTTTAGGGCGAGGTGTCCCTGCCCATGGCAGGGGGGTCGGAACTTGATGATCTTAAGGTCCTTTCCAACCCTAACTATTCTATGATTCTATAAAGCCACATATCTGGTATATCTGAGGTCAGTCATGGAAGACCGACAGTGTCTGGCTACTTCAGGATGGAGGAGCTGCTAATGACTTTCCTGCTGGCTTGCTGAGAGCTTTGGGCAGGTTGTTTAAGCTTTCTTTGCTTTCCATTTCACCAAAATGGGAATAAAATATACTTTTTAAAATGCATTGAGGCCTAAATGAGTACACATGAAAATTCAGACTGGTTCTCCTCTAGCTAAGAAGTAGTTTAAGCTAATTCTGTCTTTCTGGTGGTTTTTGTGTGTGTGTTTTGGTCCTTTTTTTGTTGTTTTGTTTTGTTTTTTTTTTTTTGTGGTTTTGTATTTTTTTCTTTTTGTTTGTGTGTGTAGGTTTTTTGTTTGCTTTTTTTGTTTGGTTGTGATTTGGAGAAATCTTCAGGAACTTGCCAACAAAGTTTAAGTTGACAAGCAGGTAATCTTTTATGTGGTGCTGGGAGACACAGGAGATAGCTCCTCCTAGTGTGTCTCTCCGAATTGCCAAACAAGCCATTCTTATATAGTCACTAAGGATGTATATTCATTATGTACATACATGCATATTCATGAGGCCACTTTTATGTATTACATCATTCTTCTAGAAAGTTTCCCCGCATGCATACAAAAATGTGGTGGTGCTCTTTGGGGGTCGTTTACTTCTTCCAACAATCTTCATCACTTCTGGCAGTCTTTGAAGCATGTGCTGTAGATAATGCTTACACCAGCTTAATTGGTTCGGTAACACTACAGACATAATCATCTTGTCCTTCTACTTATCAGTTAGCTTACCTGCAGCCCATCCTGGACACCTAATTTGAGCTTCTCTTTACCTTCACGTCCTGTTTTTCTATCCTGTTTTTCTTACGCTTATTTTTGTACTAAGGTCATAAGGACCTGAAACTATGCCAGCTACAATGGTTTATCTTATACAAGGATTCTCATTATGTTCTCTAACTACACTCTGTTTTGGTTTTTTTTTCTTCTGTGAAACATGTACCTCAGGTATTTTCCATTGCTACTGTTACAAAGCCATCAAACTTAATGTTACTTAGAACTGATTTTACTTATTTACAAAGGTTTGTATTTCATTTTGTGCCACCTTGTCTCACTTGGTTTTGGTTTTTTTTTGTTTCTTTTCCAGTTGGAGTGCCTCAAGCTCATTGCCTCTCAGAAATTCACAGATAAGCGCATTGGGTATTTAGGTGCCATGTTGCTGCTGGATGAGAGACAGGATGTTCATCTTCTTATGACCAATTGCATCAAGAAGTAAGGGTACTAGCTGTCCATCAACACATGCTTTGAGGTTTCAGGATTTGAAATTATATTTTGACTGCTTTGGTTTTGGGTTGGGGTATTTTTGTGGGGTTTTTTTGTGTGTGTGTTGTTTTTTTTTCCCCTCTCCTGTTTTAGAAAACTGGTATCTCCGGTTTGTTTCATGCTGTTGACCATACAAGACCGTTCTAATATTGTACTGTATCGGATGATCCTGTTTAGCTTCCTTTGAGGGAAGAGAGTATAAAATTGTATTGGTCCTGAAGAGGTGTACGTGACAAACAACACTTCATGGAACTAGTGTTGCAGAATGGTAGCATGTGTTTCTGGAGGTCATGTGAAGATAAATAAAATCGGGAAAATGAAATGACCACAGTAAGATGCTGGGCCAGTGCAGAAGACCTCTAATTGTTGCAAAGAACTCTTTTCTATTTCTGTAAATTAGTTCTCTCCCGGTTTGCAGTGAGAGAGAACCAGGTGAGCAGTAACGCAGTAAAGTATCAGTAAAGGTCCATGCACCTTCTAAATTTGATTGAATCAAGTTGTTCTTTAAACTTTGTGGGCTGGACTGGCTATCGTATGTCATAGTCACATATATTGCTGCAGCCATGTTGGCCTGGGTTTGTTTACTTGACTTCTGCTGATGAGCTCTGAAGAGTTGTCTGATTTTCAGGATCAAGGCAATTTATCCTGCTTTCTTTTTAAGGTTGGCCTAATGGTCTTGATGAATAGTTTTCCTTGGAAGCAAGGTGGCAACTTGGGATTTGCTGTCTGCTTGGCATCGTGCTAAAATCAGATGAGAGGATACTACATAACTAACTTTTTTTTTCTTTCTCTCAGCAGAATGCTGTTCAAGTGGGACTATTTTACATTATAGTTTAGTAGATGATTAGTGCATTTCCAGTAACATTCCTTTTCAAGATGGATGGGAGTAAGAGTGGAATAAGTGGATTCTAGCTGATTTAACCAGAGGTTTGATTGGTTGGGTGTGCTGTGTCTGTTTTTATTATTTACTTTTAAAGCATAAGCCTTACAGATATTAGCAAGTGAAGTTTTGATCTTCAGTTGGACTGTGGCCTCAAAGTGCTTGTAAAAAAAACTTGAGAAAACTTCAGGCCTGAGGATCTGCTAACTTTCCACCTAGTGTCCAGGAGAGAAGAGACATTTGGCTAAAGATTTTTCATTGAAGTGTCATACCTGTGAGGTTCTTCTATTAGAAGCAGGCTGCTAGGTTAACACTTCTTTTGATTATTTATGTGAAAATGAATTTGTGTGGTAAGGATGTAGACAGTTTGAACTGGAAATGGGTCAGACTGAAGCTGAGCAGAGCGGGTGGACTGCTCCCCACCACCTCAGTGGATTGTTTATTGCTTTCTCCTTTGGCTTTTGTACCTACTTGTTTGTCTTACTTTTATCTAGACATTAAGTTATTTGATTTATGGTATTGTCTTTCATTATTTAGATTGTAACCTAGATTTTTGGTAGAAAAAAGTAAGCGCCCTTGTGAAGCACATACTTGCTATATACACAGTTTTATATAGCTGCCAAAAATCTATTAAAGGAAGGAAACAAAACCCCCATTTAGTGGCTTGTGCTACCTGTTCTTTTGTCTGCATGTTGTCATAATTGCTTGGTGTTACAACCAGAATACTGTCTGGCTTTTCTGCATGCTGTGAGCATTTGGTTACATAGCACTCATTTCCCCAGCTTCTCCCAAACCAGGAACCATACTTCTTACTTTCTTCAACACTGATCCTGGATACTGTGGCAACACAAATACCAAATAGTCAGATGGAAATGTAGTGTAGAAATTGGTTTTAAAGGCTGTTGGGATTTTCATGTGGAAGCTGTATTGCTTGGCACATAGTGTAACATTGGTAGCTGGCCTCATAAATAGCATCTACTGTTAGGTGGTTTAACTTCTCATTGACTACTTTTTGCAACTTCCTTAAGCATAGGAATGGCTAGGATTCCTAAGCAAGGTTCCTGCATGGATTATTTTCCAGGTGTGTGAGTGGTGGAATTTGTTTTTTGACTCAGGACAGGATATTTTTACATAGATTTTCTACACTGTTAGGTTTGTAAATGCAGAAGGTAAAGTCTGTCCTAGAGCATGTTTAAACTGGGACAACCTGCAGGATCACTGCAGGACTGTACTTCATGGTAGGTTCCTTTCTGCATGCAAGTTCCAAAATACAGCATTTTGTCTTCAGAAGTTTTAATGGAATTGTGTGGTCTTTCTTCTTCTCAGCTCAATCCCTAGATACCCGCCTGATGGTTTTAACCAAGTATCTTTATAACTGGGGTTTCTAAGTAGAAGTGGTAGCAAACCCTGTGGTACATGCACTCAAAGTTGCTATTACTCCGAATTCATGCTCCCACATAACTGAGAATCTGGAGATTTCTAGGCAAGGTGTGCAGCCAGTTAGATGACTGCAGGTACAGATGCCTTTTCCTGTGTGTTCGGGTTCTCTGTGCATGCTCATTAGCTTTTTTCTATTTCTTTTTCCTTTTACAGTGACCTTAATCACAGCACGCAGTATGTACAGGGGCTGGCACTCTGCACTCTTGGCTGCATGGGCTCCTCAGAAATGTGCAGAGACCTTGCAGGAGAGGTGGAAAAGCTCCTCAAAACATCCAACTCCTATCTTAGGAAGAAGGTACATCAGGGAACTTTTAAATACTTTGTTATGGATTAAAACTCAAGATTGATTGGATGCCTTGTGAATATCTGGAATACTAGATGGCTTTGATCACACTGACTATTTTCCCAGTGTGCAAGACAGAGGTCAAAGCTCCTTGTCTATCTATAGCAGGAACACGCGTAAGTCTCTAAAAGACAAGCTTCCAACAGGAGAGGCAGTTGTTTTTGTTTGGATAGTCTCTACCAGTAGTATGTGTGAGAGAAAGGTTAAGGGCTTGAAACAGGCAAATGATTATAAGTTGTCTTGTTTCCATAGCAAGTGTGTCATAGCATCTGCAAAGTGTAATCACCCTTGTTCTTTTAAACTTAATTGTTCAGTTTTGGGGAGGGTGAGGATCAGTAGGATTTAAGAAGAGCTGCATACATGTTACTTCTTTGTCTACTGCTGGATCTAGAGAGAGATTGGAGGGAAAGCAATGCTAGGACCTCAGTGCACTTGTCCCTCAAGCAGCAGCAAAGCACAGTGACTCCTATTGTTTCTGTACCCTAGAAGAAGTAGGCACATTTTTTTGCAGCATACTTTGTTTTTCACGGGACCCATCACCTGTTGTAGTTATTTTGTGGGGAAGGAGATGATATTCAGGGGAAAGAAAATGAGCTATAATTTGATATAAATTTAACTGATTGCTTCCAATGCATTATGCCCTCCCTAGCAACAGGAAGACAGACTGAAGTAGCCTTAAAAGGCAGAGCTGCTTTGCAGTTGGTATCACTTCTGAAGTGAAAAATGTAAAAATGAGCCATTGCTAGTGGGAGTATTACTTTGTAGCTCCGTGCCTTCACCCCCTCACTCATAGCAGTTTTACTGAACTCTTTGATGCTCTTTAGTATCTCTTGTGGTAGAGAGATGGGAAAATGTGCCATAAACTTTCCAGAACTTTGTATATCATGAAATTTGTGATAGATCGCACTGTGCTAGATGTTCTCAAAGCATGTATCATTGTCATTACAATATGTACTAATAGAGCTATTTTTCCTATACAGGCAGCATTGTGTGCTGTTCATGTTATTAGAAAGGTTCCTGAACTCATGGAGATGTTCCTGCCAGCCACCAAAAACTTGCTGAATGAGAAGAACCATGGTAATACCTGAGCTATATATACCTGGCTAATACATTAGCCAGGCTATGCCATTCTTTATGGAATGGTGCACTTGCTACCTAAGTCTTTTGTTTGGAGGGAACTTTTGAGGTGTATTTGTATGATTTGTTTCTTCCCATTTCTGTGTAGTGAAAGCAAATGTCATTCAGAAGGAAAGGATGTGTATGACTACTAGTCAGCAGGACATTTATGTGGCATAAGTGACAAAAGGAACTCTTTCACTCAAATGTTTTTTGATAAACTTCAGAGTAGATGGAATGGGAAAGTTTCTGATTTTTGTTTTGGTTTTTTTTTTTATTTATTTATTTATTTTAAATCCATTTCTCTCCCTAAAGTGACTTTAAAGTGCACTTTTTAGGATTGGAGTGTTTTTATCTATGTTCTGTTAGCATAGGACTGTGGGATTCTTTGACGTTTTAGCAGGCATTCCCAGGACTGAGATACCTTTATCACTGTCAAGAAAGAGTCTTTCTTTGGTGCTGTTTTCCATCAGAACTACATCAGAAAATAGATTCTCATTTCAGTGTTCCTTTGTGAGTTTATTCTATTTTAATTCATTTTCTTGTATAAGTGTTTCTAGATGATTATTTAAAGATAAATTCTAATATTAAAGAGAAATTCTAATATTAACACCTTGACTAATTTGTATCAAGCCTAGTGCTCACTTCCCAAAGTCTTACTCCTGTGGCACATATGCAATGAGCATGTGCCTTAAAAAAAGTAGTTGTGTGTACAGTAGATGTCTGCAGTGCTGAAAACCCACTATAGGGAGAAGTTCTGTCCCAAGACAGGGTAGTTGTAAATGCCAACAGTACTAATGTGCCACAGTAGCTTTCTGAGAAGCTATTGGTTTTTGGGGTTTTTTGTCTCTTCTCTCCCCACTCCCCCCCCACCCCGCATGTCTTGTAAACCTTTGAGGTACAGGATAGTTTGCATGTGGAATGTGGCTTATGTGGTGCAGCTAGTTTACCTTGGTTTAAAACATGATGATCAGAACATTCAGACCAGGCACTACCTCAGATAGGCAGTGTCTGTAAGACTCTTTGTCAGTAAGTGATGCCTACGTGATTCATCTTGTGGTAGCATGAGATCCTCTGTCTTATGCAACTCTGAAAAGCTTAGAGCTGTTCTGTTCCTTCTGTTCCCCTTTTAAAGATGGGGATGCTCTTATTCAAGCCTTGGGCAAGCAGAGAATTGAGTCTAGGTTCACCAGCATTCAAGAACTGGATTATCCTTTCTTCTTTCCTTATCCTTAAAAATCAGCATCTCCCTTCCAGTAGCTTTAGCCATGGGCTTTATGTTGAGCTTTCTCCGAAACATAATATATATGAAACCCTTTAAGCAGACTTTTGGGAGGTCTTTGTGATAAGTAAGCGGTATCAGTGTGAAGAAAGCTGTGACATAAGCTTTATAGGTAGATACTTATGTAATTCAAAACATTTTTTTTTTATAGGACCTGTAATAGGTCAGAAAGCTGCATAGCTTGTGGAATATAAATGTTGTCATCTCTGTAGAAAATGTTGCTTAGTAAGCAAGCTTCTGGTATCTTTCTGAGTCAGAAGCTTAACACCTACAACTCAATTGTATGCTGGCGAGTGAAGTTGCTAAGCCACTGTCCATCATATTTGAAAAATCATGGCAGTCAGGTGAAGTTCTCAACGACTGGAAAAAGGGAAATATAACACCTATTTTTAAAAAGGGGAAAATGGAAGACTTAGGAAACTACAGACCAGTCAGTTTCACCTCTGTGCCTGGCAGGATCATGGAGCAGATTCTCCTGGAAGGCATGCTAAGGCACATGAAAAACAATGAGGTGGTTGGTGACAGCCAGCATGGCTTCACTAAGCGGAAATCCTGCCTGAACAATTTGGTGGCCCTCTATGATGGGGCTACAGAACTGATGGACAGTAGCAAAGCAGTTGATGTCATCTACCTGGACTTGTGCAAAGTGTTCAACACTGTCCCGCATGACATCCGTGTCTCTAAACTGGAAAGACATCAATTTGATGGATGGACCACTCGGTGGATAAAGAATTGGCTGAATAGCTTCACACAGAGAGGCCAGTGGCTCAATGTCCAGATGGAGATCAGTAATGAGTGGTGTCCCTCAGGATCAGTGTTGAGACCAGTCTTGTTCAACATCTTTGTTGGTCACGTGGACAGTGGGATTGAGTGTGCCCTCAGCAAGTTTGCCGATGACACCAGGCTGTGTGGTTCAGTTGATAAGCTGGAGGGAAGGGACCTTGACACGCTTGTGAGGTGGGCTGATGACAGTCTTATGAAGTTTAACCATGCCAAGTGTACGGTCCTACACCTGGGTCGGAGCAGTTCCAGGCACAGCTACAGGTTGGGCAGAGAAGAGATTCAGAGCAGCTCTGTGGAGAAGGACTTGGGTGTGTTGGTCGATGAGAAACTTAACATGAGCCAGCTTCAGCGCATGCTCGCAGCCCAGAAAGCCAACTGTATTCTGGGCTCCATCAAAAGAAGCATGACCAGGAGGTCAAAGGAGGTGATCCTGCCCCTCTGCTCTCGTGAGACCTCACTTTGGAGTACTTTGTTCTGGTGTACTGGAGTTCTGGTGTCCTCAAAAGAAGAAGGACATGGAGCTGTTGGAGCAACTCCAGAGGAGGGCCACAAGGATGATCAGGGAGCTGCAGCACCTCCCTTATGAAGATAGGCTGAGAAAGTTGGGGCTGTTCAGCCTGGAGAAGAGAAGGCTGCATGGAGATCTCATAGCAGCCTTCCAGTATCTGAAGGGGGCTTACAAGGATGCTGGGGAGGGACTCTTCATCAGGGACTGTGCTGATATGACAAGGGGTAATGGGTTCAAACTTAAACAGGGGAAGTTCAGGTTAGATATAAGGAAGAAGTTCTTTACTATAAAGGTGGTGGGCATTGGAACAGGTTGCCCAAAGATGTGGGTAAATGCTCCATCCTTGGTGGTGTTCAAGGCTGGGTTGGACAGAGCCTTGGGCAACATGGTCTAGTGTGAGGAATCCTCTAATGTGAGGCAGGGGATTTGGAACTAGATGATCTTAAGGTCCTTTCCAACCCTAACCATTTTACGCTTCTAATTAGTATGTCTTTGTAGTGTTCTGTGTTTATATATAATCATAGAAGGATTTGGGTTGGAAGGGACCTTAAAGATCATCTAGTCAAACTGTGTCTGATACCATCTGACTGTATATTTAACATTCAGGTTTCTTCAAAGTTCCACTCCTCTTTTCATTTGGCTATTACCTGCAGCTTTAAGGCACTGGTATGTTCGTATCTGCTTTCCATTTGGCACAGTGGCAAACCCAAATATAGATACATTGGATTCAAGAATTATTTTTTTTTTTTATTTTTTTGTGATTTCCTGTTGTTTCCTTATGATCTTTGAAATATATCTGGAGCCAATGAAATTAACTTAAATGGAGATACTTTTTTACCTTTAGGTGTTCTTCACACATCAGTTGTCCTCCTCACAGAGATGTGTGAGAGAAGCCCAGACATGCTTGTACACTTTAGAAAGGTAAGTGTGAACTGATAATACTGTAAAGTCAATATTAATGGATTTGTTTGTGGTGGGTTGAGGATTTTTTTTGGGGGGGGGGGGGTGTTGTTTGTTTTGGTTTGGTTTTGCCAGTGTGTTCTCTTAGTCTCCCTAGTGTTCATGTCTTAATTAAATCCTTGCAACTCTTTGGGTTGAAGAAGTCTGCTTGTTATCAGAATTAAAAAAAAAAAAGAAATCATTAAATTTAGCTATTTTGTGTGTATCTAGTCCTAATCTCCTTCAGTAAGTTGGGTAAGTTACAAAACATCAGTCTTAAGACTATGCAGTATGAAGCTCATCCTAAAGTTAGATTTAAAATGTCCTCTATGTTCCCTTAGGGTTTTTTCCACTCTTTGTAGTTAATTGCATAGTGACATTGGCATCACACATGTATTAAACATAAAGAGGCAAAGATAAAAAACTGAGGCTTGTGCTGACACCTGAATATCTTAACCACAGGCACGCAATTTTATAAACTCAGGTCAAAAATACCACTGGAAGTTCTAGTTGTGTAGGTAACTCACCACTGGTGCATGCTATATTGTATCATTTATCAATCTAACTTAAGGGGTTTGATAATCAGTGTTACTCTTCCTCCTTTGGTTAGGAATGTTTGTTTCTCCTCCCCACCCCTGAACTTCCTTGTGTTGTTTGTTGTAGTTTGCTGTGCAGTATTATTGCTGTATCAAAATTTCTGAAAATTGCATTGTCATTCTGACTTCTTGGTCAAAGAAGGAGAAATTTAACAAAGCTGGTACAACAGAACTGGCTGTTTGCTGTTTTGAAAAGTATTAAAGGTGCTTATTTATTTGCATGCCCAGTTTATTCTTCTTCCTTGGCTTGTCTGTATCATTAGGGATCTCAAACAGTACATCCTTTGATGCATCTTAGCATTTTGGCATGCATCTTCCCTTGCCCTGATTGCATATGTCATGGTTTAAACCCAGCCAGACAGCTTTTCACTCACTCCCCTCTTTTCCTTCCCCCTACTCCCAGAGGGACGGAGAGAAGAATCAAAAACAATGCAACTCCCACGGGTTGAGATAAGAACAGTTTAGAACTAAGGTATAACATAAACCACTGCTGCTACCACCAACAATAAGAATGGTAAAGGAAATAACAAGGGAAGAGAATACAACACCTCAGCACCAGCTGACCAATAACTCCCCCCCCCCCAGCCTGACCAAGCACCGACATATACCTCCTCCAACCCTGCAGTCCTCTCACCCTTCCAGGTAACAATCCATTACAATCTGGGCATGATGTGCTGTGGTATGGAATATCTCTTTGGTCAGTTTGGGTCAGGTGTCCTGTCTCTGCATCCTCCCAGCTTCCTCTCCTCCCTAGCAGAGCATGAGGCTCGCAAAGTCCTTGGCCAAACCAAAACATCATTGTTATCAGCTCTGTTCCCAGGCTGAAAGTCAAAACACAGCACTGCACCAGCTACCAAGAAGGAGAAAAAAGACTGCTACTGCTGAACCTGGGACTGGAAGTGGGACTAGGGTCATCTTGAAGGTAGCTTCTAACTGCCTTCTAATTGCTCAGTTATGATAGTGATGGGAAAAGAGGGAAGAGCTGAGTCCACAAAATTTAGGTACTAGGTACATTCTTTTCTAGTTCTCCCTTGTAGTTGTTTATGCTGTGAATGGTATTACATGGATCTCTCCCTAATGCCTGCTTCATCTGTTTTGTCTCTTGTCTGTTTGGAATCCTGCTGTGTGTAGAATGAAAAGGTAAGAATTAATTCTTCTAGATGGTGCATGCTTGCATTGAATCTGTAGATGCTTGTCACTTGTGAGGCAGTGCCTCTTAGTGCCACATTTGTGATTGATTGCCATATGCTTAGGTTGATTGTATTTGTGTAATGCTTTTTTGCGCTGGTCTTGTCTTGTCACTAAACCTCTATGCCCATGGCAGATCTGATTCGCAGTTGTGGCCTTTTCCAAACATGACTTTGTTTTCCTCAAACTCACTCTCATTTGAGGACTTCTTTAGGAATTTTTTTGTGTGCCTAAGCCAACTGGAGCCCTGGGCTTTTTTCTTATCAAAACCTGAGCTTTATGTTTTGCCTGAATCATGGGGCAACTTTGGATGATTTCCAAAAGGGAGCAGGAGAGACTTGGCCACCTGTAAGTGGGCTTACTGTGCTGCAAAGAGCTACCAAGTACAGCTGCACTGTTGGTGTTTTTCATGGGTGGAATCTGACAGCAGAAGATGGGGAGGGATGGCCCTCAACCTGTCTCCACGGCTGTAATGTTTCTCTTTGTTCTGTCCTCAGTCCTGGTAACTCTTGCATGTTAGAAGGAAAAAAAAAAAATAAAAAAATCAGGGTTCCAGGAATGTTCCACCATGTCACTCCATTTGTCTTTTACTCTTTCTTGAGGAAAGATGTTACAGCCCCCTTTGGTTTCCTCTTTAAGGCAGATAATAAGAAATGTATGGTTCCTTTTTGTTTGTGTGTTTTATGAAATGCTTGTTTATAGAGGGTTATGTAATTCCTGAACAATGAAGGTAGGAATAAAAAGAGATGATGGGGGAACTCTGCTGGTTTTCTTCTTCCACTGTACCTCAAATGTACAGGAATTCAGCCCAGAAAACATTGCCTATTTAGTATTTCCACATGCAGCTGTTGTGCTCTTTAAGTCACATTGTGCTTCTGGCACCTTCTGCTACTATTTGTCTTGAATCTGAAGCACCTTTGTGATTTGATGTTGTTAGAAGTGGCATTTTACTATAAGCAATCTCTGATCTGGTAACAATTTAGACTGAATGCAATTCCTGACCTGTAGGCATACAAGAATGCAGAAGCAGCCCATCTCAAGGATGGGAAAGTTGGTGAAGTCTTAAAGGTGAATCATTGGAAAGGGTTTTGTAGAGAACACACAGTTGGAAAGAAACTTTATGAACAGTGTGAGTTGATACAATTTTGTGCTCCCAAATCTGGCATAATAGCAGTGCTTCCATCAGTTTCTCTGTTGCTACGCAGAACCCATCTAACAGTGGTGAAGCAAAGAATTTGGTCACTTTAGTGTTGCTGCTCTTGCCAAGAAGTTTGTGATGAAGAGAAGGGAGAATAGACCCTGGAACTACTTGTGGGAGTCTAACAATAGAGCCCTGGGGGAAGGCTGGAGGGAAATCCATTCTCTGCCCTTTTTGGAAACTCTTTGAGAGCAAGCAGTTCACAAAGCTTTTCTTTCTAGAAGCTAAGTTGGATGGAGTGTCAAATAAAGTAATTATTAATAATTTAATCATAGCAGTACAGTACTTGAAAAGATCAAAACACTTGACTATGCCTGATGCTTCCATGGAGATGCATGCTAAGAATTAATCAGGAGCTAATGTAGAGCCCCCAGGCAAAGTCCTAGAATTGTATCATTTTTATAGTCCCAGTTGATCCCCTTCTCACGAAGAGAGGAATTTAAGTTGGTACTTCCTCTCAGGTCTCAACTGCCAAGCTCTGGCAGATTTAGTACTTTAAAAATACAATATGGTGCTCAGGACACAGCTTAACTGTTTCTTGTTGTGCCCTAGCTAAGCTGTAGGCATTTATGTAACATCAGCTCTAGGTGTATGTCGTGGTTTGAACCCAGCCAGACAGCTTTTCACTCACTCCCCCCCTTCTTGCCCTCCCCCTATTCCCAGAGGGACGGAGAGGGGAATCGAAAAGAATGCAACTCCCATGGGTTGAGATAAGAACAGTTTAGTAACTAAGGTATAACACAAATCACTGCTGCTACCACCAATAATAGTAATGATAAAGGAAATAACAAGGGAAGAGAATACAACAACCCATCACCAGGCGACCGATAACTTGCCCCCCCAGCCCAACCAAGCACCGACCGATACCTCCTCCAACCCTGCAGTCCCCTCTCCCTTCAGGGTAACTCCCAGTTACCTCCTGGACATGACGTGCTGTGGTATGGAATACTTCTTTGGTCAGTTTGGGTCAGGTGTCCTGTCTCTGCTTCCTCCCGGCTTTCCTCCTCCCTGGCAGAGCATGAGGCTCACAAAGTCCTTGGCCAAACCAAAACATCATTGTTTTCAGCTCTGTTCCCAGCCCGAAAGTCAAAACACAGCACTGCACTAGCTACCAAGAAAGAGAAAAATGACTGCTACTGCTGAACCCAGGACAGTGTACAGGTTGAACTTTGTGGAGAAATCCATAGACTCACTTGATTTCAAATATAAGATTTGTTCTTGGACCTGTACTTAAAAGTTGGGGTGAGGGAAGAAACAGCACCCTAATAGGACAACTCTCTGCTTAACAGCTTGTTCCCCAATTAGTTCGTATTCTGAAGAACCTTATAATGTCTGGATATTCACCAGAGCATGATGTGTCTGGGATCAGTGACCCCTTTTTGCAGGTAAGAACTGATACAAACTGATAGCTTTAATTCTAGCACTGTGTTTTGAGGCTTAGGTATGATGAGGTCAGTAACTCAGGGCAGCTGTGTTGATTTTAAGATTTTTGTGTCTTTGTTAGAGCTGATTGTACAGATGCTCTTCATCTACCTTAGTGAAAGACACCTGCTTTAAACAGCAGTTGTAGTGCCTTATATTATGTGAAGTTGTGACAAGGGGGGAAGCAGCAACATGTGTTGGTCTTGCAAAGTTGTGCCAAGTGGGTAATGGGGATACTCAGCAGTTCTGGTTGCTGGGAAGAAAATAAGCACAGCATAAGACTGTTCTTTTTGGTAAAGGTCATATTAAGGATAAGCATTTTGCTTAGGAATGGAAATCAGCAGCTTATTTTGCTGATTTGCCACTCCTCAGGAAGTGTCCTGGGCGTTTCATGGCCCCCAGGTAAAAAAACACTGCTATCCAGTGAGCATTGTTTTGCTTTATTTTGTCAAACAGGTACGAATCCTGCGGTTACTAAGAATTTTAGGACGAAATGATGATGATTCTAGTGAAGCAATGAATGATATACTTGCACAGGTGAGGTCTGCAAGGTCGATGAGCAGCTTAAACTTTCTCTTTTGGTTTCTTAGTACTTTGGATTGAGCAGCACTGGTGAGGATACAGTGGCTTCCTGTGTTGGGTGGAATTTTGCTGTAAGATACACATGTTCATAGGTGTGAAGCTTGTTTGCTAGGGGTTGGTTAATTTCACCACATGATCTGTGGAACAGTGCAAAGGGGATCTGCTTTGCATTCATTGGACTTACTGATACTGTTTATTTTCTCCAGGTTGCCACTAATACAGAAACAAGTAAAAATGTGGGAAATGCCATTCTCTATGAAACTGTGCTGACGATTATGGACATAAAATCTGAAAGTGGGCTCCGAGTAAGTTGACTTTAATATGCACAACCAACACCCCACCCCCCACCCACCCCTCCAGCTTGCATTAGAATAATTTGTGTAGAGGACATGAAACAAAGTTGTTTTGCCAAACATAGTGTTGTGGTTTAAGCCCAGCCTTTAACTCGGAACCATGCAGCCGCTCGCTCACTCCCCCTTCTTCCCCTCTCCCCACTCCCAGAGGGACAGGGAGGACAATCGAAAGAATGTAAATGATTGACAGAGCATGAGAATGAAAAAGTACTTGATTGGGGTAAGCATTACTTAGCAACAACTGAAAATATTGATGTGTTATTCATCACTGTTCTCAGACTAAAGCCGAAAACAAACCAAACCAAAAAAAAAAAAAAAGCTCTGAAGGAGAAAAATGACTGCTACACCTGAACCCAGGACAATATCCACCTCTTATTCCATACCATTCACATCATTCTCAGATCCTGTATTTTTCAATATACCATTACTTTTTGTCTTGTGTGGTGTATATATATACACACATATACATACACCCACACACAAGGAGACAGATATCATTCCTTAGTCCATGGGCCAGTCCCTATAAAGCTGATGAATTCACCCAGTCCATGATATTAGGCTCCATCTCTTGTAACAGTCTTTGAGGGCAGGAGAGATGGTGTGTAATGTTGGATTGTTGCCTGCTGATGACACTGCTGAGTTCATCTGGTCTCTGCTGAGCTTGTCTGGTTTCATCAAAATTCATTCCTTTTTGGGGTGATGATTGAAGGAAAGGCAGGGTCAGTCGCTGGTGACCTGAGGACAGTTCTGCTGCTGCTGGCTTTTCCCATGACTTTATTTTCTGCTCATGATCATGACAGCACATCTCTCCTTTTCAAAGGCCAGAGTGGTGGAGATGGGCATCTAGCTGATAGGCTCTAGAAGTGTTATATAGCAGGCAACAGCATATAAATGAGGTCATTGGCTGTTTACCCTCAAGATTAAATCCCCTTGAGGTATACACTGGATTTCCCCATCCTCCCATATTATCCACCAAGTATATTCAGGTCCCTGAGCAAAAGCAGTCCCACAAGTGGGTTTGCCTTGACCTGAAGCAGGAATAACTCAGACTGTCTTCCCCAGCAAATTCTTTATGTGCACCACAGGAACTTTATCCCCCTCTACAGTATGTAAAAGTTCTGACTGGGCTGGATCAGCCCTGTTGACAGATCCCCTAGTGTTGACCAACCAGGTGGCTTTTGGTAAATGTGTACCCAATGTTGTTAAGTCCCACCACACAATGCTTATGGTGACTGTTTTTATAACAGCCCATTGTACTGTTCGATTTTCCCAGAAGCTTGTGCATGGTAGGGGATGTGATATACCCACTCAGTGCCATGCTCTTTGGCCCAGGTGTCTATAAGGTTGATCTAGAAATGAGTCCCGTTGTCTGACTCATATAGTATAGAGTTGATGACCATGCTGAGAATGGATGCCAGCCCAGTTTCATGATCAATGAGTCTATTGTATTACAAGTCGTTATCATAAAGTACATCAAAACAAAAACCTTAGCCCAGGCCCTAAAGCTGATAAACACTAAAACAGTGAATCATAGAATAGTTAGGGTGGGAAAAGGACCTTAAGATCATCTAGTTCCAACCCCCCTGCCATGGGCAGGGACACCTCGCACTAAACCACGCCAACCAAGGCTCTGTTCAACCTGGCCTTGAACACCGCCAGGGATGGAGTATTCACAACTTCCCTAGCCAACCATTCCAGTGCCTCACCACCTTAACAGTAAAGAAGTTCTTCCTTATATCCAATCTAAACTTTCCCTGTTTAAGTTTGAACCCATTACCCCTTGTCCTATCACTACAGTCCCTAATGAAGAGTCCCTCCCCAGCATCCCTATAGACCCCCTTCAGATCCTGGAAGGCTGCTATGAGGTCTCCACTCAGCCTTCTCTTCTCCAGGCTGAACAGCCCCAACTTTCTCAGCCTGTCTTCATATGGGAGGTGCTCCAGTCCCCTGATCATCCTCATTCTCTCCAACGTATCAACCGACCCACACAGCTTGATGTCATCGGCAAACATGCTGAGGGCACACTCAATCCCACTGTCCATGTCACCGACAAAGGTGTTGAACAAGACCGGTCCCAGCACCGATCCCTGAGGGACACCACTCGTTACTGGTCTCCAGCCAGATATTGATCCATTGACCCCAACTCTTTGCGTGAGGCTATCCAGCCAGTATAGATCCACCGAGTGGTCCACCTATCAAATTGATGTCTCTCCTATTTAGAGACAAGGATTTTATTTGGGACAGTGTCAAATGCTTTGCACAAGTCCAGACAGATGATGTCAACTGCTCTACCCCTGTCCATCAGTTCTGTAGCCCCATCATAGAAGGCCACCAAATTGTTCAGGCAGGATTTCCCCTTAGTGAAGCCATGCTGTCTGTCACGAAGCACCTTGTTGTTTTTCATGTGCCTTAGCATTCCTTCCAGTAGAATCTGCTCCAAGATTTTGCCAGGCACAGAGGTGAGACTGACTGATCTGTAATTCCCTGGTTCATACTGGCTTGCAAGTAATGTACGACATGGTGAAACTGTAAGACCAAGTGCAACAACTCCAAGAGCAACTCAGTAAGCATTGTGATGAGTGACTATTAATTTGAAACAGTGAATGCTTATCACAAATACTGTTAGACACACTGGTCAGATCTGTCATAACCTCAACCCATCATGTGCCCCACGTTGGGTGCCAAAAAGAACTGTAATTCAAGCCCAGCCGGTAATTCAGAACCATGCAGCCACTCACTCCCCCCGTTCTTCCTTCCCCTGCTCCCAGAGGGATGGGGAGGAGAATCAAAAGAATGTAAATCATACAGGTTGAGATAAGAACAGTCCAGTAACTAAGGTATAATACAAAACTACTACCACCACCAATAATAATAATAATGTTAAGGGAAATAACAAGGGGAGAGAATATGAAACTAAAAGGGGAAAAGGAAAACAATTAACACAAGTGATGCACAATACAATTGCTTACCTCCTGCTGACTGATACCTAGCCTGACCTGAGCAGCAATCTAGGCCTTCCAGGTAACTCCCTCCACTTTATATAATAGAGTTTCTATACTGGGCATGATATTCTGTGGTATGGAATACCACTTTGGCTAGTCTGGGTCAGGTGTCTTGTCTCTCCTTCCTCCCACCTTTCCGTGCCTCTCCTCGCTGGCAGAGCATGAGACTGAAAATGTCCTTGATTGGAGTAAACATTAATTAGCAACAAATAAAAACATTGGTGTATTATCAGCATTGTTCTCAGACTGAAGTCAAAAACACAGCACTGCACTAGGTACTAAGAAGGAGAGAAATGATTGCTACAGCTCAACTTGGGACACATAGCTCTTTAGTTGCTTCTAGATAAGACTGTAGCCTGTTCAGAAAGTGATATTTGATTTTTGGTAGTTTTTGTCTTCTTTTTTTTTTTTAATTAAAAAATACAAAAGCAAAGCTTCCTGCAGACTATGTTCTTTTGAGAGCAGGAGAGAGCCTGTGATGTGTTTGTCTTAGCTTTTTCTCTGTTTAGGCAGCCTCTTGAGTTTTGTTATGCTTTTGGTTAAGAACTGCATTGGTAAATGGGACACATTGTTTTTAAGATAATCTTGAAATCATGGAGATGACTAGGAGCCTGTATTGATCACTGACCTTCTCTAATTCTCTCTGTAGGTGTTGGCTATTAACATCCTGGGCCGTTTCTTATTAAACAATGACAAAAATATTAGGTAAGTTGTATGAAGTATGTTTTACCAACACCCGCTTTCAAATGTATGAGAAGCCATTACATAAAGATTATGCTGCAGTAGAGCTTTTCAGGAGATCTCTTTGGCAAGTACTGTTGTTGGGGTTATTGTGACTGTCTAGCTTTCTTCTCTCTTGGTGCATGGTTTTCTCTGCAAATCTTCACTGTGGACCTGCCATTCTAAGTTGATGAGTCTGGGTGTGTGCCATCCCATCTCTTAGTATTCTGATTGCAAATCCTGGTATAGGTAGAAGACTCCAGCCTTGTGAATTACACTCAAACTAGCTTGAGTTGCTTAATCTTCAGAGATCTAATCTTTAATTGCCTTGTTTTTTTCAAAATCTTAGTGAAGACTGGGCAGCTGACGTGAGCCCAGGAGTTGGGACGGGTGCCTGTCTGGGCAGCGGGATGTTGTTGGGCTTGTTAGAGTTGAGCATGGTAACTAACCTTTGAAGATAGGCCAGGCAGTCCCCTGGAAGATTCCCATTTGTTACTGAGTACGAAAACCCTGTTCTGTTGCAAAATAAGACTAAGTTCTGTGCATAGGAATTAAATGCCTACTGTCAAGGATTCATTCCTGTATATCGTTATCTCAGATATGTAGCTTTGACATCATTGTTGAAAACTGTACAGACAGACCATAATGCAGTACAGCGGCATAGAAGCACTATTGTCGACTGCCTAAAGGATTTGGATGTCTCCATTAAAAGGTAATTGAAATATCCATTACATAGACTCTTAAGGTTGACAGCATATGGAAAGTGAGCAGGACAAAGGGGAGGGAAAATGGCAATAATCTTGGGGAACTGTGAGACTAGTATTAATGCACTGTATGGTTCATACTTCAAAGAAAGTAATGAAGATGTAAAAGCAGCCTCCCAAAGAAGGTGCCTGCACATTTTGAGCATGTAGGATTGGAGAAAAAAAATTAAGTTTGCCTGAATTTTTCCAAATGGAGTCTCAATGGAGATCAGATTATGTGCTCACAAGATGGAAAGTCTTCATGAAGTATGATCTTAATCAAAGCTACTCTGACATGCTCCATATTGCTGCTCTTCCAAGATGAACAGACAGTGCCATGTTATCTTGAAGCAGCACTAAGCTGTCCAAATAATGTATTCTAGATGAATTTTGATTAGGCAGTGGTAAAATTCAGACTTGACTTGATTGTTCAAATAATTTGCTTACATCTATGTCCTGTTATGCATTCTTGGTGTTCATTCTTTGGTGTTGGTCAGAGCAATCCCAGGCACACCTGCAGGTTGGGCAGAGAAGAGATTCAGAGCAGCCCTGTGGAGAAGGACTTGGGGGTGTTGGTCGATGAGAAACTTAAAATGAGCCGGCAATATGTGCTCACAGCCCAGAAAGCCAACCGTATCCTGGGCTGCATCAAAAGGAGCGTGACCAAGAGGTTGAAGGAGGTGATCTTGCCTGTCTCCTCTGCTCTCGTGAGACCTCACTTGGAGTATTGTGCCCAGTTCTGGTTTCCTCAATGTAAAAAGGACGTGGGACTGTTGGAATAAGTCCAGAAGAGGGCCACAACGATGATCAGGGGATCCCGCATGAAGACAGGCTGAGAAAGTTGGGGCTGTTCAGCCTCAAGAAGAGAAGGCTGCATAGAGACCTCATAGCAGCCTTCCAGTATCTGAAGGGGGCTTATAAGGATGCTGGGGAGGGACTCTTCATCAGGGGCTGTGCTTATATGACAAGGGGTAATGGGTTCAAACTTAAACAGGGGAAGTTCAGGTTAGATATAAGGAAGAAGTTCTTAACTATAAAGGTGGTGGGCATTGGAGTATGTTGCCCAGAGAAGTGGTAAATGCTCCATCCTTGGTGGTGTTCAAGACCAGGTTGGACCGAGCTTTGGGTGACATGGCTTAGTGTGAGGTCTCCTTGCCCATGGCAGGAGGGTTGGAACTAGGTAGTCTTTTCCAACCCTAACTATTCTGTGATTCTATGATTTGTCAGTTAAATAGCAGTATGTTGCTGTTGCTCTGGGCAGTGGGAGAGCTTGCAACCTTACTTCTCACTAGAGGAAGACAATTTAAAATACTTATGTTTCTTCTCGTTAGTCAGACATTCATAGATACTCTAATTCTTGATCTCACTTTTGCCCAACCTATGTGGAATGCTGCTCTTCTAAATTGAGTTCAGCCTGTTAATTGCTTGCTCTTTCTGTCAAAACTCTCTTCCTCATAGTTACTGTTTTTCTAACTGATGGTCTGAGCTCAGTGCAGCATATGACGTGGCAGTCATGGGGACAGTTACATCCCTGTTGCATCTTGTGGAATCTGTTTGCTGCAGGCCAAACATCATTAACATACTTCCAAAATTGATCAACCTATTTTTCCCCCCTTGTGAAACTGATTAGATATGCTACATACTTGTTCTGATAGGCATTTTTCAAATATATGCCCATGTTTGATTTACATCTAGATTTATAACAGCACTGCTCAGTCTAATATGTACAGAATAGGAAAGAAATTCGATCTGTCTCACTTCTGAAACTTAGTTTTAACTGCTTTATAGTGGGTATCGTGTAATCTATTTTTATAATTGCAATCAAAACATAAACATAAACTTGTATTTTACATGCTGAGCAAGTCAGGCTGCTGTTGCTGTTCAGTGCCAGAGCCAGCACTGAGTCGAAGCTGTGAGATAACAGAACCCCATCTAGGTTTTGGGTAGAAGGCAACAAAAGCATTTTGTTGGTGCCTGATTAGGAAAGCATAGGTAAGCTATGAATGATAGAGCTCCATGTCTGAGTGTTGTTGCAGGATGAAGCCTGTCATCCATCAGCAGAGCATGATGTTGCCATGATGATGCTCATGATGCTGACAGTGTACTATCTTAATTGAAGCAGTATATCGACTGGATGTCAGGGTCCCCAGCTACCAGGTTTCAAGCACTGGGACTTGAGGGGAAGAGGCAGTACCTGGTTTGGGTTACCTGAAGCATGGTCTGTTCCCATCATTTAACTGTTGCAGTGCATCTTTGGTCCATGTGGTATAAATAAGAATGTCTTTGCTGTTTAGTTCAAGTCTTCTTGTCTGTCTGTTTAATATGATCAAACTACATTATTAGGAACTTTGTGACAGGAATGAGCCATGTAATATGACTGAAGGTAAGCTATACGTATTGAGATAAATGTCTGGTATTAAGATTGCAGAGTAGCTCTGTGCATCTGCATTATTGAGATATCTGTTCTAATGTGATTGAGAAGTTAAACTTAAACATGGAAAATGTGTAGCCTGTTAAGGTTAGGTGTAAAGAGTTGGGAACTAATTGGAGGGATGAAAGCAATTCCAGTAATGGTATAGGTCTTCAACCAGGCACAGATCTAGATGGTAAAAGGTAATTAGTTATGTATTTCCACCTTAATTCTGGACACCTCCATGTTTTCTAGGTCCCTGGGTATTAGTTGGGTAAAAAGCAAAATAACACTGACTTGGAGCAACCTTGTCTAGTGGAAGGTGTCCCTGCCTGTGGGAGGGGGGAATGGAATTAGATGAGTTTTAAGGTCACTTCCAACCCTGATCATTCTATGATTACAGTAATAACTAGGGAGATGTTAAGAAGCAGTGCTGCTTTCAGATTCTTGATAACAAATAGCTTGAGCCCAATACCACTGGATTGGGTAATGTGCCTGGTCTAAGTTGATGTTTCACAAACATTGGGAAAATACTAAGCCATCAGAAATAACTGTGTCTGTGTTGTAAGTTGGCAAGCTTGGCACTGGAGCAAGACAGAATCAGTGAGACTGATCATGGGGTTCCTACCAGTAAATATGTGAAAGGATGACAGCAAAACTTGCACATCTCAACATTATGATTTTAATGAGAATTGCTGGAGTCAAACACACATTGAAATCTGAGCTACCTTGAGAAAGTATGTATTACAAAATAGACTTTAGGATTTTTGGCATAATTTTGGCTGTAACTTGTTGAAAACAAGCAGTACAAAATCACTGTACAAAGTAGTTCAGCAGCTATCCAGACAATTTCAAAAGATAACTGAAATGGGAGAGGAATTTTTTAATGTGCTGTGAGGTTCTTTATAGCCTTCTGGTAGGGTATCTCAATGACAGGCAGAGAATAAAGTTCCTGATACTATGAAGAGGGCACAACTTGGAGGGTTGGGTTCTGGATTATACTAAATGCTCAATTTTAAAGAACAGTCAGGGTTTTTTAGTGAGGCTTTTTTAATGCATTCTGACATAACTAATTGCCAGCGTTGTACAACAGTCAAATCACATTTGAAGATATTTCAAAAAATTCAAAAAAGTCAGAAGAATGGGAGAGCTGTGCTAGAATTGGCTGCAGAAGCTTTAAGTAGAAGGGCTAAGGACTAGACTCTGACTTCTCGATGAATATAACAAGGAATAGCAAAGAGCCAGTACTCTGTCTAGTTGTGGTGTCAACTTGGATGTGGGTTCTGAGAAGAGCATCAGGGTAATTTTTGGGTTGTAGAAGTCTTAATGTAGTCTGACAGAATACAACAAAGCCTATCTGTTAATATTTTAAGTCTACTGAATTCGAATCTCTTCTATATGGAGATTGAAGCAGGTCTCTTCTGGATCCCTGAAGCTGGATAAAGTGCGTTGTAGGATGGATTACTTCCTGCAGTTGTGTGTCAGAAATGACTACCATGCGAGTAATTTGTACAAATACTTGGGAAGTCAGACCTTAAAACTGATAGACTCTGGGTGGAAGATATTTCTAATCCTTAGGACATCTGGATAGGTATTTCTAAAGAACCCCACACCCACTTAGTATTTTGGGAGTTAGGTATTTGTTGTCTGCCCATGAACAGGAAACCATTGGTACATTTCATGTGGAAGGCTGTTTTCACAGGAATAATAAATACTGTTCTCCTAATGAAAATGTAAGTTCTTTGAAGTAGCTGGACTTGTGGTTTGTTGTTTTTGGTCGGGGGGTGGTGGTGGTGGTTGGTTTTTTTTTACTTCACTAGGGGAAGATACTTTATCTGTTTTCTGTCTCTTGCCCTAGGCGTGCAATGGAACTGAGTTTTGCTCTTGTTAATGGGAATAATGTCCGTGGAATGATGAAGGAGTTACTGTATTTCCTAGATTCCTGTGAACCAGAGTTCAAAGCAGACTGTGCATCTGGAATATTTCTTGCATCTGAAAAGTATGGGGCCAATTTATTTGCTATTAATTTTTTGTACATTCTCAGAATTATGAGCATTTTTTGTTGCTGCTTCCCTTCCTCATCCCCCAGGAGATCACATCTTCTTGTTTGCTCATCTGTGTGGTGTGTCAGTTTCAACTAACTCTGAGGAACAGGGCACACTAGTGTGTCCCATATGGATAGTCCTCGTATTGCTAAATCAGTCTAGTGTACTGATTGCTGCCTACTGTGTACTGCACTTTGGAACACATGTTGCACTGACATCCTGGCCCTGCCTCCCTGCCCCTCTCCACACACGCAACTTCTCTGGTTAGCTATACAACTGAAATGATCTCATTACTGCTGAGCCATTATAATCAGCACCCTGACTTTGAAGTACTGTATGTGTACTCTACTCTGCTCTTGTGCAACCCCACTTAGAGTACTGTGTGCAGTTCTGGTGTCCTCAGCATAAAAAGGACATGGAGCTGTTGGAGCAAGTCCAGAGTAGGTCCGCAAAGATGATAAAGGGGCTTGAGCACCTCCCATGAAGACAGGCTGAGAAAGTTGGGGCTGTTCAGCCTGGAGAAGAGAAGGCTGTCTGGAGACCTCATAGCCGCCTTCCAGTATCTGAAGGGTGAAGGGATTTAAGGCATGGAATCTGATTGCTGGTTGAAGACCTTTTTATTTTAGATTACATTGTTTATATATGTTTTTCATCATATCCACGTGCTTAAAGCTACAATTGGTTAGTTGCTGCTGTCCATGCGCATAATCTAAAATTATAATTGATTAGTCTGTTTTTTCGACACCATCCTTTCGACCTTCTCCTCATTTCTCAGTTCCTTCTTCTACTTCTCGTTTTCATCCCCTTTTGTTCCATTTCTTTTGCTCCACTTTTCTTGCTTGAGGTTAGTTCCCTACAGAGCTAAAATTAGAGTCTGGCTCAAAGTTAATTCCCCAAAGAATTAAGGTCACTCAGCATACTCTAACCAAGTTCAAACTCTTCTCCTACAGAAGGGGGCCTATAAGGATGCTGGGGAGGGACTCTTCATTAGGGACTGTAGTGATAGGACAAGGGGTAACGGGTTCAAACTTAAGCAGGGGAAGTTTAGATTGGATGCAAGGAAGAAGTTTTTGACTGTAAGGGTGGTGAGGCACTGGAATGGGTTGCCCAGGGAAGTTGTGAATGCTCTATCCCTGGCAGTGTTCAAGGCCAGGTTGGACAGAGCCTTGGGTGACATGGTTTAGTGTGAGGTGCCCCTGCCCACGGCAGCGGGGTTGGAACTAGATGATCTTAAGGTCCTTTCCAACCCTAACTATTCTGTGATTCTATGTGCAAGGTATGGCTGTACTATATTGTACAGCCTTGTATATTTATTTAGCTTTCCAATGTCAGCATTAATACAAAAAAAGTCAAAGAATGTGAAATGTGTTTTGGTTTGGGGGGTGTGTGGGGTGTGTGTTCTGTTTTGGGTGTGTCCCATTGTCCCGTCCTCCCCCAGGAAACAGTGGGCCAGGAATAACTGAAATGGGAGGTTCTGATGATGATGGGTTTCTTGCTGGTGTTGAAGGCTAGTAGTTATTGCTCTAACTTGTTTTCTTAATCTTGTCAGATATGCTCCTTCCAAACGCTGGCACATAGACACAATTATGAGAGTCTTAACAATGGTAAGTGTTGCCTCCCTTGTGTGTGACTATATACAAAATCTTATTTCTGTAGGAAGTTAATCACCATCAAGTTGGACATGGCTATAAAGGCTGGCAGATAACAAATGCTACCATACAGAGGGGAAGTATACCTAGATGGTAGTGACTCCAGGCAATCAGAAATATGTAAACTCAGTGAATGACTGAGTGTTTTTTTTTAAAGAAATATATGATTTCAGAAACAAACAAGAATACAGTGTGTAGCAGAGTTTTTCTGATGCAGTAATCATATTAGCTTCTAAGTTTGGATAGCTTTTGTGTTTTCAGGGGAGACTGAATACAGCCTTAAGTAACTTGCAAAGTGAAAGGGGATGAAGCATTATCTTGGAATTATTCCTATCCTCTAAGCAAAGAGTGAGATGCAGGCAAGATTCTGGATCCTGTGCTTATTTGGCATACAGTCTGGCTTTGAGCAAGTGGTTAATAAGTTGTGTTCTGCCCCCAGGGTGTCTTTCACTTAAAGCCTTCCATTTAACAGAGGAGTTTTCTATGTTGCTTTTTGTTCCTTCTGTAGCATAGGATCCTTATGTCCACACTGTCCTCCTGACAATTTCAGGGTATCTGTAGTATGGATATCTCTGGCTATAGTTGAGTTCATTGGGAAAATGTAATGTCCTGTGCTTCTATCCATCTGAGACTGCTCAAAATCAACTATAAAGTGCTTGATGATGAGGAGGTTGGTTTTTATTTCCATGCACATCAGGTGACTTTGTGAAGGTTATCAGGAGATGCTGGGTGTTACTGAGAAGTTGGATAGTGAAACCTAACAGTAGCTGTTCTTGCAGGCAGGAAGTTATGTTCGTGATGATGCTGTTCCCAATCTGATTCAGCTAATAACTAACAGTGTGGAGATGCATGCCTACACTGTGCAGAGACTCTACAAAGCCATCCTTGGTGATTACTCCCAGGTAATACCAAGCTTGACCAGCTTCTGTTTCCTTGTTTACTGCAATAAGCATGTTTACTAAGCATCTCAAGGTATGTCAACATCACACTGTGTAGCTCCAAGGGATAGATTGCAGGTGAGACATGTATTCTATAAGTTCATAAATATTCTTTTTATTTTGTCTAATTCTCTTATAGAATTCTTGATCAAATCAAATATTCTTGTTTGTTATGATGAGAGCTTCCTTGGCTGTAAGGAGAGCTAAGCTTGCTCTGGGAAATGGTGACGGCTTAATTTGTTATATAGGTATCCATTTATCTTGGGTATCTGATTTTTCTTCTTCAAACAGCAACCCCTGGTGCAAGTGGCCTCTTGGTGCATAGGAGAGTATGGAGATCTTCTGGTGTCTGGTCAGTGTGAAGAGGAACCACCAATACAGGTATATCTTGAGAAAGAAAAGCAGCTGTATACCTGGCTGAGGCTGGAGCTGCTTGCTGCTGCCTATGCAAGGGGAATGCTTGCAACAGTTACTTAGCATTGGTGTCCATGATGGTGATGGACTGTGAGGAGGAGTCTCCTTCCCATGATACAGGCATGGGCTGCCTAAGCACTCACTGTGTCAAATGCAGCTATAACTGACAGAGCAGTGTGCTTTCAGTGCTAGCCTAGCTTGCAGGGGAGCTTCTAGGGTCTTAGCTGTGTATTTTGATGATAAACCTGCTGTTCCATGTGTAGAACAGGAACTGTATTTTAAAGCTAATCTCTTAAAATCTCCACATAAATGCATGTGTCTTGTATGCTCTGAACATAATGCCGCAGGCTCACCAAGTTGCAGAGGAGGTACAACATGGCCATTAAGCAAGAGACAGGTTTTTACAGTATGTCCTGCAAGGCTTGCTGCAAGGCTTCTCTCTGCCTCAGCCTAACCTTTCTGTACCTTTTCAGGTAACAGAGGATGAAGTTCTTGATATTTTAGAAAGCATCCTGATATCTAATATGTCTGCATCTGTTACACGAGGCTATACTCTCACTGCCATCATGAAACTTTCCACAAGGTTTACCTGCAATGTCAAGTGAGTTCTAACTGATGTACTGCACAGGGCTTTGTTGCAAACATGCTGGCATTGGTTGTTTTCAGTGGAAGTATTCCTTAGACATGCTCTGCTTCCATGGTTTACAAAAGTCATTTGTTGGCTTTTACAGTCCTTCTTTGCTTGCAGGGTGGAAGACTTCTGCTGCTATGTACTGTTTTCTCTGTGGATGTCCTCTACTGTATAGGGACTTAATCCCTGTTGCTGTTGCTTGAAAACTCCTTTTGGGGAAGAGAAGTCATTACTTTCAGTGGACTGTCCTTTCCAGTTCCTTTTTTGGGTGATGGAGAGGGAAATAGCCTTATTTCTTACTGATGGCTTCTTGGTGTGGGTAGTTGAGCTTTCTTATGCTATACCTTGTGGTGGTATATTAATCACCTACTGATGCTGTTACAAAGGGACAGTTCAAAAATGGGGTTGCATATTTCATCCAGAAAAACAGCAGAGAATACTGTTTTAAAGGAGTTAGACAGGGCACCTGTTAAGCGGAGGACATATAGTGTCTTCTGGATGACAGGTTAATCCCTTTCTTATTGCTGCTAATTCCATGGTGTGGTGTGTTCTTTTGTTTCCCCCTTGTCCCCACACAGTCGCGTTAAGAAGATAGTTTCCATTTACAGCAGCAGCATTGATGTGGAGCTACAGCAGAGGGCAGTGGAATATAATGCACTTTTCAAGAAATATGATCACATGAGGTAAGTGCTGATGAGTTTGAACAGGATCATTATAATCTACTCTGATCTCCTGTGTGTACTGCACTTTGTGCTTTGAGAGCTTTGTCTGGTGATTTTAGTAGGGTTATAGAGGAACTATAATCCCTCCCTCTATAGATGAGTTAGTGAATGCTTTAAGAATTCAGCATATCCTGGGAGATTATTCTGTGCTCAGAGACTTTCTCTGCCAAAAACGTTGCCCTGCTTTGAGCTTGAACTTGGCTAGTGTTTACTCCTAAGTGTTGAATCTTAAATTTGCTAGCTGAGTAAATGTCTGCAGGTAGCTTTTATCATGCTAGCATTACCACAGTTGTTTGGTTCAGTCTCGTTTTAAAATGTCTTTGGAATAAGCATGCCAAGGTCTATTGACTTGTCTTTCTAAACTGCTCTGAACATGAGGCAATTCTACCAATTGTTTATATGTTTCCATTTTTCAGAATATCTCTTAAATTTACTGTATCTTCTTGTAGTATCTGCTTAAAATCTCAGATTCTGCATGCAAAGGCATGCTATTTCACTGCACCACTCAGCATATGTTTTACAATTTGTGAGCGTATTAATCTCCTTACACCTTATAATTGAAAGGTCCCCATTCATCACTGCTTTGCTCAAGTGGTTGTTTCTTTATGAGAAAGTTAAAGCCCTGTTTTATTGCAGTAACTAAAGGCATAATTCTTTGCAGAATAATCATTAATCTGCTATGTGTCGTAGTTAATTGTTCATACATAGGAGCACCACAGATTCATCTGTTCAGTGTGGATCGTAAGATTGGAGGAGATCTTGTGGGGATTGACTTCATCCACTCTTTAAAACTTTCCATAAAATTCCATTGGATGGAGGAACATTCATTTAAGAGTTTAAATGAGAGGACAGAGAGAAAATGGATGCCATTTGACTAAATATTGCCTGTGTTTGTAGGGGCCTCCAAGCCTTGTTTCAAAGACTTCACAATCCCTTTTTTCAATAGGTACCATCCTATTCACTGTGTGTAGAACACAACATCCTTGTGATTTCCACTTTTCTCTCCTCCTATGGGATCCATGCAGCAACTCAGATTTGTTCTTGGAAACATCATGTTAATGAGCATGGGCATGTGAGCTGCTTATGGCTTCATGTAAAACCGTATGAGAAGGTTGAGAAAAATCTAGCATAGAGGATTTTGATCTGAGTTGACCATTGCAGACAGCAGTGTCTAGTGATCAGCTGGCTTTTGATTACATGGCAGTGTATGCTGTTCGTAGTTTTGGGAGGTGGTGCACTTAAGAAAAACGTGTAACTTCATTTAATTTACAAGTGAGCACCTGTAGTTTCCTTCAATATATTCTGGTGTTTATTATAGTGTAAAGGTCAATGTTTAATAATTTCTGCTTAACAAGACTTTGTCCATGGTCAAAAATGGGGCCTATCGTTGGGTTTATTGGTACTGGAACACTTTTTTCATCCCAAAAGATCTGTAGACAGTGTGGCTTAAGCCTATTACATGCAGTGCTCTGCAGCTTGATCTGCAAGGGTAATGGCCTTTCTTGTATTACAGACTAGTTGTCTCGATACAGATTTTCCTAGTTTCTTGGTTTGATGTCAGGATTCTGGATCCCATGCCTCTTATTCAGTCTCTGTATCATTTCAGGAGGTGTAGTGGTTTAAGCCCAGCAGGTAACTCAGAACCATGCAGCCCCTCACTCACTTCCCCGCTTATTCCCTCTCCCCTGATACCGGAGGGATGAGGAGGAGAATTGAAAGAATGTAAATCCCACAGTTTGAGATAAGAACAGTCCTGTAACTAAGATACAATGAAAAACTACTACTACTACCACCAATAATAATAAGAAAAAGGGGGAAAAAAAGGGGAGAGAATGTAAAAATAAAAGGGGAAAAGGAAAACAATCAACATGAGTGATGCACAAAACAGTTGCTCACTACCCGCCAGCAAATACCCAGCCTGACCTGAGCAGCAATCTGGGCCTTCCAGGTAATTCCCACCAGTTTCTATACTGGGCATGATGTGCTGTGGTATGGAATACCCCTTTGGCTAATTTGGGTCAGGTGTCCTGTCTCCGCTTCCTCCTGGCTTCTTGTGCACCTCCTCACTGGCAGAGCATGAAAGACTGAGAAGTCCTTGATCAGATGAAGCATTACTTAGCAACAACTAAAACACTGGTATGTTATCAGCATTGTTCTCAGACTGAATTCAAAAATACAGTACTGCACCGAGCTACTAGGAAGGAGAAAAATAACTGTCAGAGCTGAATCCAGGACAGTAGCCACCCCTTATGCCAAAACCATTCAAGTCATGTTCAGATACCACATTTTTTTGATATACCATCGCTTTATGTCTCTTTATATATATATGTATACACACACACACAAAGAGAGAGATATCATTCTTTAGCCCATAGACCGTCCCTATGAAGTTTGCCGAGTTCATTCAGCCCATGTTGTCAGGCTCCATAAGTTGTAACAGTCTTTGAGGGCAGGAGAGATGGTGTGTAATGTTGGATTGTTGCCTGCTGACAAAACTGCTGAACTCATCTGGTCACTGCTGAGCTCGCCTGGTTTCCTCAAAGTTCGTTCTTTGTTGGGGTCATGATTGGAGGGAAGTCAGGGTCAGCCAGTGGCTGACATGAGGAGAGTTCTGGCAGACTGGCAGGTTGCTGCTGCTGGCTTTTCACATGACTTTATTAGAATCATAGGATAGTTAGGGTTGGAAAGGACCTTAAGATCATCTAGTTCCAACCCCCCTGCCATGGGCAGGGACAACTCACACTAAACCATGTCACCCAAGGCTCTGTCCAACCTGGCCTTGAACACTGCTAGGGATGGAGCATTCACAACTTCCCTGGGCAACCCATTCCAGTACCTCACCACCCTTACAGTCAAGAACTTCTTCCTTATATCCAATCTGAACTTCCCCTGTTTAAGTTTGAACCCGTTACCCCTTATCCTGTCACTACAGTCCCTAATGAAGAGTCCCTCCCCAGAATCCTTATAGGCCCCCATCAGATACTGGAAGGCTGCTATGAGGTCTCAACACAGCCTTCTCTTCTTGAGGCTGAACAGTCCCAACTTTCTCAGCCTGTCTTCATATGGGAGGTGCTCCAGTCCTCTGATCACCCTTGTGGCCCTCTTCTGGACTTGTTCCAACAGTTCCATGTCCTTTTTATGATGAGGACACCGGAACTGTACACAGTACTCAGGTGTGGTCTCACGAGAGCAGAGTAGAGGGGCAGGATCATCTCCTTTAATCTGCTTTTGATCCATTCACCCTTATGTTGCCAATCTAAATCCATGTGAGCCACTTCAGTCTTAGCAGCTTTATCCACTTGTTGGTTGTGGTGTTCCTCGGTGGCCTGACTCTTGGGTACAGGAGCATCTACTTGGTGTATGTTACCACCACACCAGGTTCTGTACCTGGGCAGCAGTATCTTGCCACAGTGCAGCAGCAAGGTGGGTTTACCTCTGCATTACCAGTTGCTCTGCTTCCATTGCTCCAACCACCCTCACAGGGCATTTGCCACCATCCATGAGTCAGTGTAAAGTACTAGCTGTTTTTCTCGTTCAGCAATGTCCAAGTCCAGCTAGATGGCTTTCACTTCTGCAAACTGAGTCGATTTACACTCTCCTTCATCATTCCAATGCTGAACATTCCAAAATCTGCCCTCTGGCCTGTCCATGATGACTCCTAGGATTCCTGGACAATTGGGATTTCCTGTTCTAGCTCCTTGTGTAATTAGAGCAGCCCACTTATTCCATATAGCATCAGTTGCATGGCGTGTAGAGAAGATCCTGCCTTTGAATTTCCAGCCCAGCGTGGGCAGCTGGGGTGCCAGGCGGAGCTGTGCCTTCAGTGCCAATCACTTCTGAAGCAGCTTGAACCCCTTCATAGTGTGTCAGTATTTCTTTTTCAGTGATAGTATAGCTGGCCTCAGTTCCTCTGTATCCCTGACTTCAAAAGCCGAGGGGTCGACCTGGAGTCTCCCCTGGAGCTTATTGCCAGAGGCTCCAGGTAGGACCATTCTCCCTGGCTGTGGTGTAGAGCAGATTTTTCACATCTGTCCCTGTCAGGACTGGTCCAAGGGCTACTGCATGAACTGTCTCTCATTTAATTTGTTCAAAGGCTTGTTGTTGCTCAGGGCCCCACTTAAAATCATTCTTCTTCCAGGTCACCTGACAGAGAGGGCTTACAATCAAACTGTAATTCGAGATGTGCATTCTCCAGAGCCCCACAATACCTAAGAAAGCTTGTGTTTCTTTCTTATTAGTTGGTTGAGACATTGCTGTTACCTTGTTGATCACATCTGTGGGGATCTAGTGATGTGTGTCTTGTCGTTTTATTCCCCATAATTGAATCTCCTGTACAGGTCCCTTGACCTTTCTCTGCTTGATGGCAAAACAGGCTTTCAGCAGGATTTGGATTATTTTCTCCATTTCTCAAGAACATCTTCCACTGTATCGCCTCACATGATGATGTTATCAATGTATTGCAGGTGTTCTGGAGTTTGCCCCTGTTCCAGTGCAGTCTGGATCAGTCCATGGCAGATGGTAGGGCTGTGTTTCCACCCCTGGGGCTGTTGATTCCAAGTGTACTGGATGCCACTCCAAGTAAAATCAAACTGTGGCCTGTGCACCAGTATCTACAAGAGCCTTATACTTCTGTGGGACTGATGTGCCAGACCAACTGATCCACACAGTCCAGTAAACCCGATTGTCCCTCCACCTGGGTGGAGGCAGGGCTACTCTAATAGCAATCATGAAGTTCTCTACTTACATCTTTGCCTCAGAAAATATATGGACCCAGTCAGAGATCAGTATGATCAGGCAAAAGCCATTTATTACAAAGCCTTAAGCCCTTATACACTATTTCTTGCATGCACTTAAAATGATTTGTCATATTATGATCGGATACATGTCTTGAAGATGCTTAGTGACTAACATATAATTGGTTAAGCACAGGTGTGAGAACTTGACCTAGAAAACTGCCAACA